ACCTAACTTTTTAACTTAAAATAAATCAAAATAATTAAAATAAATAGTTTTAAGTAAAAATATAAGGTATTATAAAGAAAAGAATTTCATTAAATTATATTTTTTTGTTTGGGACATATATAAAATTAAAAATTAACATATCAATAATAGACAAATTGAAAAATGTAAACTAAACTCCACTAAGAAAAGACATAAATAGAAGACATTTATTAGGAGTATGTGTGTTTTCAAAGGTTTGATAAATCTCCTAAAATTGAGCTGAACTCCATTTTAGAGAATCTTCTATTTGTACGAAAAAAACAATTAGCTTAAAATTTACTATCACTTTAAAAAACCATTTAATATCATTATTATCTAATAAAGATATAATATTTAGGTTTGAATCATTCAAATAATTTATAATTCAATTATGACTACATCAAAATGTTAAAAAATCATCCTTTAAAAAATAATGAGTTAGACAAATTGCTAATTAGACCATCGATTTAGTACCTGTTACTAAATATTATTTGGTGGAAATAAATATTTATTTCCATGTAATAAGGCTTTGTTCTTATGAAGAAATCATTTATTAAACTGTAATAAATAATATTGATGGGTACAAAATATTTGTTTCTCCCAAATAAATGAATAAAAATTTTGTTACTAATTCAGTTCAGTACTCCGTATTAAATCCTTCTATCAGTGTACGAAAATAAATTTAAAAAAAAAAAAATTACATTAAAAAATTTGTTTTTTATTTTAAATTTTTATAATTTAATGCGAAAAACAAACAACAAACAAAAATAATGAAACACATACTAAAGTTACATAGATTCTATTATTCCGGCGAATAAAAGCATACAACAATAACATGCCCAAATATACCACCATTTATTTAGTATATTTAATACAATGATGAATGTAATAAACGATATGTTTGGTAATTTTGCTTGTAACTGCACTCATTACGCCAATGTTGAGCTGCTCTCTATGATTCCATACGCGGGAGCTTGCAATAAGAGCACACCGGGCTATTTATACCGCGTATGTAATATGAAAGGGCTGGAAGTGATTTTGGGAGATGAAAAGAGAGGTCAGTCCAGTCTCTGGTTCCGAACGTTCGGTTGATTCATTCGAGTAGCTTTGCTGTACGTACGTAATTTCCACCCCTTATCTGTCATGCATAATCAACCCGTTTTCCATCAACGACCGGCACAATTGCAAGAATAATCTCTCCGCGTTTTAATATCTTATATCTTATTCATAGCGCAGATTTAAAACTACCGTTAATGCTGGAATTAATATTCAATTGAAAGCTTAATTTATTTTTGTTTTTCTGTTTCAGATATTCACGCGCTTCGGAAAAGTATTAAAGATTGTCACCTTCACTAAAAACAGTAAGTATTTTTTTTTTTTTCATCATTCAAACCTTTTTTATTTTAAAACTCAGCAAATTTTTTTTACGATAAGATTGAATTATTTTTTCAATGCAAATAATTAGTTAACAAAAGAATTTTATGAAGTTTTGCACTGGAAAGAACTTACGAAAAAGTTTTCTATCGAGTTAAACTTGTTTAAATTGCCGTTGAAAGCTGACACTATGATTTAGAGTCTCTATATTTTATTTTATCATTAATATTACATTTTTATTAATTAAGGAGAAGCTATATATATATAAATATGTATAAATATTTATAACTATAATTAATTATCGATGAAGTTGAATATTTACTTAAACTTTCCTCTCACTCTGATAATATAATTAAAATATCACTTTCGGGTTTTATTGAGTCACAATAAATCAATTTTAACTTAATTATAATTAACAATTTAATTATAATTACCTACTACCGTCAATAAATTTATTATTGTTGTAAAGAAATTAGGATAAATTTAATAATTATATTAAAAATGAATCTAATTTTTCGTAAAGAATCATTAAAAAAAAGCTAAATTGAATTATTAATTCGCAGGTACGTTCCAAGCCTTGATACAGTACTCGGATACAATAGCAGCCCAGAATGCTAAAGCGGTAAGTACATTCCATCTGGTATAATATTATATGGGTTGGCCTTTTCAAGCCCCTTAAATTTCCGGTCTGCACACACGCAGTCTCCGGTACGGCAGCGGGAATCCCCAAGGAAAGATAGATCAACTTGGGAATATTCTTCCGACTCTCATGCGCTTCCACTCGCGCGCGTGACGTGAATAATGTAGTACGCTACATTTTCGGGCCTCACTTCCGCAAATCGTGTGCAGAAATTATCCTATTAATATTTAAATGTTAATTTTCCACATGCCAATTTCCGCCAATTCCTTTGAAAAAAAAAAAAAAAATAATAATAATAATAAATTTACTTTCTTCGCGAATAAAACTTTCGCTTTTATTTACTTTTTTAATCTAAATTCAAAATTATTGTCTCGGTACCGACGAATTATAACAAATGAGTCTGGCCGCTAGCGCTTCTTCTCTTCAAAGATTTTAATAGTCTCGAAGTCGTCGAGAAAATTTTCTCTTCCTTCCTTCCTTGTAAATATATATACACATTAACTAACCAAGTTCCAACGCAGACTCGTTGTTGCGCATTGCCCAGAGCTAAACTTTTCTTTTCTTCCCCAACTCTGGTTTATTTTTACTTGTATAGGGTAAAATTCTTATGATCTTGTCATTATTGAACATGTAAACCTTACTTACTTACTTGTTAACTTATTTACTTATTTTTCTACCCGTTATAAGACTTTAAACTTTGTTCTTTTTTTTTTTTTTATGATCATAAAGATTGAAAAAAATAAATATGGACGTAATAAATAAGGGTAAAATAATTTTTAATTAAAGATTATCGGAGAATTTTAACATCGGAAGAATTTATTTGATCACTTCTGAATTACGGGGGAAAATTCTGAACCTTTTTGAGAAATTTATTACCATCCTGGAAATAAATTTACCTATCCTTATTTATTTCGTACAAATGTTCTGCTAATTAAATACTTTTGTTACAGTGATATAAGATGTAACACACTTTTTTTTAATTTAAAATAAATAGGTTTATTTTCTTGGTATAAAATAAATGTAAATAAAAACAAAAAAAATTTTTAATTCAATTTTTACAAAACTAAAAAATTTTAATTTTATTTTCCAAAAATCAAAAAATAAAGAGACTGTAAAAATTTTAAATCTAAATTTTTATCAAAAAATCTTTAGAGTATTACTTACAAAAATTTAACTTTTTTTTGTTTTAAAATTATTTTTTTAACGCACAATAAATAAAAAAAAGAGACTAAAATTAATAATATCAGAATATTACTAAACAAATTAAACATAAAAGTGATTGTAGAAATTTTCATTAAAAACCATTAGAGTAATGTTTATAAAAATTAAAATTTTTTATAAAACAAATTTAGAAACTCTAACCAATGTGAGCGCTTAAGCAAACATTAAATTATAAACTAGATACTATTGCGGTGTACTAAATAAATAATAACAATAATTTCTCGTTTACTCGAAGAACAAACAATAACTCAAGAGCGAGTTTGGCTAGCCTAATGGTTCCAGGATATACATATAGTCTAACTTCCGTTTTTATCCTTGGAAATTAACCAATTTAGCTAAACCAAAGAAAAGCAGTAATGTAATTAAATGTAAACAGGAAATGTAACAATGAACATTTAATTAGATCGGTCAGGTCAATGTAAAATTAATAATGGCATTGCTTATTATATGGAATATTCATTAGTGAGTGTAAATATGCAAAATGGCAGTTGATGGCCGAGCGAAGTCCAGCTGAAGTTCCAGTTACAAGTCCAGAGAGAATACCAGATACCGGGCAGGAACGAGTACCGTACTGAATACTAACATCCGAGTGCTGTTGAGTCCACACATGTAACAGAGAGCATAAGTCAAACAAAGCCCCGGCAGTATTATACAGACTGGTATACATATTGCTCGTCATATTAAAGGACCACGAATTCGCCCACGCGTTCGCGTCATTGTGCGGTCGGTTCGCTGCTGTATTATTAATGAAAATCAAATATTCCCATGTACAACCGTTCACGCTCGATGATATTCTCCATACTCGCACCGCCGATCCTTTTCAAATTAAAATTATATTAATAACTTATAAAATTAACTAATTAATTAACTCACGCTAATTAATTTACTTTTTTCCATTCATTCTATTATTATTGGAATTAATAATTGAAATTTTTTTCTCCCACAGACTCTCGATGGACAAAACATCTACAACTCTTGCTGCACACTGCGCATCGACTTTAGCAAAATGCAGAGCTTGAATGTCAAATACAATAATGACAAATCACGGGATTACACAAATCCGACGTTGCCGACTGGTGATCCAAATCTTGACGCCGCCTCTTTGGCACTTGGTGGTGAATTACTTCCTCAGCTTCTTCTCAGTGCTGGTACTCAACAGCGCGCTCGTTTACCTGGTAAGTACTTTTTTAAGATATTTTTTTGATTTTTTTTTTTAGTTAATAAAACGTCCCACATCTTTCTCTTTTTCTATTTTTTTATTACATCTTTTTCTTTTTCTATTTTTTTTTATTACATCTTTTATGAAAAATATCTAAAATTTTTGCTGTAAATAAATTTTTTTCGTGGTTCCAAATTTTTTTTTAATTCTTACAAAATAAATTCAAAATTTTACAATAAAAAAATTTTTTTTTCTATGATCAAAATTTTTTTTATTAAATTTAATATTGTGACAATTTTTTTAAAATTATTTTTTTAATTCCTCAAGTGTAAAAAAGCTCTCAAATTAAATTTTTATTGTGTTGCCACTCAGAATTAAATTTTTCAATTCACCTAAAAAAGATTGAAGTATTTAATTGCACAAAGACTCATAAAATAAAATAAAGATTTTTCTTAATAGCTGAAAATTAAAATTCATCATCAATCTTAAAGAAATTACTCAAAACTTTAAAGAAAAAAAATAAATAAATAACCCGTTCATCTTCTTCTTAAAACTCTTACTCTTTTCTTACTTAAATTCTCATTGACGCTCACCAGCTGCTTAAGCATTTAATATTCGCGTCAATCAATCAAGTGGGTTCTGTTTTATTAATGTAATCTCATGAATTACCTGAAGTAGAGTCAATTACAGGAGCTCCGAGCGTCCTTGCGTCGCCTTTTGCCGCAATGCATGGACTCCCCTCGCCTCTGGGAGGCCCTTACGGTAATGGCGTGGCACCAGGTGCTGGACTCGCTGGTCTTGGCGGCTTCAGTCTCGGTGCGGGTGCTCTGGGTGTTCGTGTGCCCGGCAACCCCCAGATTTCCTCTGTCTTGCTCGTCACCAATCTTAATGAAGAGGTAAGTCCTTATTTATCACTCAGTTACATTCTTTTATTATTTTATCATCATAATTATCATCATCATCATCATTATAATCATCATAATCATCATTATCAATCCACTCCTCATCCCACTTCCAGTAAATTAACAATCAAATTTATGCTTCCGTCATTTTTGTCTAAAATTTTTTCGACCCCCATTTTTTAATTTTTTTTTTTTTCAATTCATTTTTTTAATTTTTTTTTAATACTCGAGCTAATTGGTATGTACATTACAATAAAAATAAAAATGTAGAAGCTCAAGTAGTAATTTATAGTATTTTTTAAAAATATACTAGAGAATTAAAATTTCCTCTTCAAATAATAATTGAAAAAAAAATAAATAAATTACCAAAAAAGTAATAAAAAGTTTAGTGTGCTTTAAAATCGAAAGATTTTAGTGAACAATAAAAATTTGACGGGGAAATCGATTCTTAGTGCACATGTAATCCTCGTAAATGCCCAGCATAGATCCGATATATAAATACACGCATTGAATAAATCACCTAGCCATCACAATCCTATATAGATCCTCCGATTAATCGTAATGCCTCGGCATCCATCTCATGATGCCCGGTCATCATTTTTTTATTTTTCTATTTTCTCTTAAAATGTAAAAAAAAAAAAATAAAAAATAAATAAATAAAACCAACAATAAAAAAATTCACAATCTAAATTTCATGCACATATTCAAATTTTTGTAACACATGTTCAAAAAAATACTCACAATAAAATAATCAAATAAAACTTTTTAAATTTGAAATTACGGAGGATTTTTTTTTAACATTTGTTACAATTATTTTAAATATTCTGTACAAATAATTATTATTAAAAATAAACCGGGCATCACGATTTTTGCCGAAGTTATTACACATATCTCGCAGCTGCAACTTGTCACTATACTATACTTACTATGTGTACTACTATTCGTGAGTGCGTAAAAATTTTATTATTATTTTTCCAATTATTTATCAGTTGAATATCAGTAAAATAATTAATAAAATTAAATTAAAATAAATGATAAATAACAATTAAAATTTGTGCGCAATCACCACCCGTACTATTACATTGAATTCTATGTACTCGCTGACTACTGACTGGACTCTGTCTGTTCTCTGTGTAGATGGTCACGCCTGACGCTCTCTTTACCCTGTTTGGTACGTCTCCACATTTATATTATTAATTATATTACATTATTAATTATTATATTTAAACAACTCACTACTATGTAAAATCACCGCTGTCTCTATATTATTATATCAAAATCATTATAATTATATAATAATAATAATAACATTACAAATTATTATCATTATTATAATTATAATTATCGAATGATAAATTAACGCGTATGTCAGTAAACAATTATGCGAATGAATTTACATTAAATAAAACGCATATATCAATATAAATTAAACTTATTCAAATAAACAGCGTTAATTCAAAAATATACATTATTATTAATTAATTAAATATAACTAAATATGAGAATAATTAATATATTTAAAATCTATATTCTTATCTTTTTATTAATTAATTATATTATTTATTTTATTCCACTAAATTTCCGTTATTTATTTTATTTTAAAGTAATATATTAATTACAATATTCACTACAAATTCTTTTATCTATATATCATTGCCATTATTTTATATATATATATATATATATATATATATA